CTCACAAAGTGACATTTCAGTCTTCTTGATTGCCTACTTAAAACAGATTGAGAAGATGGAAAAAGAATGTAGTCATTACACAAGGTTTTGAAGTTAAAAAAAAAAAAAGTCAAAATGATTCCAGATTTCTAACTCTCTTCTGGTTCTGCTTTCATCTTGTCTCTTTTAATCACTTTACTTTATAATCTCTCCTGTCTCCCCCCCCCACTCTTTTTTTTTTTTCTTTTCAAGGAAGTCAGCATAACAAAAACCGAGTGGCTGGTACAACTAGCTTGTTGCCCAGAGAATCAGTGTATCAGCAAGAGAGATTGTCATTGCTTTAGCTTCAAAGAAAAAGAATCCATTCTATGCCAAAATAAAGAAATGACTGGTTCCTGCTGTTTGCTTTGTTCAGAGTGGATCATGATAGAAAGTTTAAAGATGATGTCATTTTAGCAAAGACGTGGGGGTTGCACAAAAAAAAATCACACTTGTGCTATGACAACAATTGAGTCATATTTTTTTTTTTTTTTTTTTTTTTTTTAATAATTGTCACAAAAATAATTAATAACAGACTGTCGAAACAGTTAAATGTAACTCTCTTCTCCTCCAACAGTAGCTTCTCTCACAATTCTCAACCATGGAACTCCCTTCCGCTTACTTGCTTCCCTGATAATAACTATAATCTTCAAATATTCAAAGGTAATGTCAATCGACATCTTCTGATGCCTTGATCTCAATCTCCATCCTTCCATTTCTTCAAACACTCCCTCTTTACTTTCACACTCTCACCTTGCTTGGGGTGAAATGCTTTTTTTTTTTTTTTTTTAAATTTTATAATTTTATTTTATTGACATTTTAAGTGAATTTTTGAGACTGGATGATGTTATGTTGATTCTATTAAACTGTTTTCCTTAATTTTGTTACCTTTTATCATGTTTTGGTTACAGTTCCTTCTCAATTTCTATCTGATTTTGAGATGAGGTGTTCTATTATTATTTTTAATTCTTCCAGAGTTGTTTTCTTCCCTTTATTGCACTACGTCAGTCACCATATCCTGTAGTCTTCCTGACTTACATGTGTTAACCTTATTTTTATCCACAAGAGTATATTGTTCTCTCTCCTTTACCTGTTGTCTCTTGTTTCCTTTGAGAATCTCAAAGCCTATACAGGTTCCTCCTTCCTCCCACTATACAAAAGTACAGCCTTCTGATGAAACCATCTCTCTCATCTAATCACTCTCACACAGACACACGCAAGAAAGGTTACCGTTTAATTTACTTAGGAAGCAATTTGGGACATACTTACCCCCACCTGAAAAAAGATTGACGTTTGTCTGCCTGTTGAGTGTAGTTCCAGGAGAAGGAACTTGATGGCACCACCCTCACTGCAAAACTTCAGAGACTGAATTCACAACTTGTAGAGAGCCCAAGAAGAAAAGTTCATTTAATTAGATAGGTTCAGTAGTTTATGATAAATGAGGAGGGGTGGGTTCGGGCTAAATTGTTTTTTTTTTGTTTTTTTTTTTTGTTATCCCTAAAATATTTATCCAGTGCCTAAGATGAATGAGATGTCTTATGAAAAGCTCCATTATGAAGCTCTTTGTCAAAAATAAAAATAAATTGTCACTTTTTGCATTAATTTTTCAAGACTCCTCCATCCTTGAATTTTTCTTCATTGAATCATGTCTGTTCATAAGTCCTATCTGTTCACAAAATACCCAAAATGTTTGCATTTGAATGTTGCACATTTTCCTGCTCTTCTACTGTTGGGAAAATAGTTTGTGAATTGTGAAGGTTACATTTAAAGTGTGGAAAATGTGGGGGGGGGGACCTTTGCTCTAGTAGTTTTGTTTAACATTTAATAACCATCTTCTGTCAGTAATGCTTGCCTTAATTACTAACCACTGACTATCCCTTCTTGCCCTTATTTTCAATGTCCAATATGCAAATTGAAACTTGCGAAAAGAAGTTTTACATTTAAAAAAAAAAAAAATATTGTAAGATTGCATGTTTTAATCATAATTTTTTTCCCCTTAGCTCCTGTCATAAATATTTATTTAGTGCGCTAAATAAGTGAAGCTGATGAGTATTTGTAAAGTCGGTGGCCATTAATGAAAAAAAACTTAGTTTATTTATATATACAGTATTCCTCAATTTTCTGAACTTTATCCAAACAAGAAATGAAGAGAAAAATTAAGAATATTAGCACAGTTTCAATTATACAAACTAAACCTTTCCTAATATTCCATCTCAGACAAGTATTTTTTGAATTTACAAAACCATACTGAATGTTTGATAAAAAAGCATTAATGAATTCAGTTCAATTAATTTTTGTTAATTTTCCTCATTGTTTTTATACAAAGAATACATATGAATTATCATGACATTCATTCAGCCCTGGGAGATAGACAGAAAAACATGAGGCCAGCTGGAAACAGATAAAATTGGCAATATTATTTTTATTTTATTTTTATTTTATTTTTTTTTTTTTTTTAATAAAAATAAACTGGACAAAATCTTGAAGAAAGCATTTGAAAATGTTATTGTATGATACAAATGTTAAATTTCTTTCAGAAAATGACTTATTTTCTTCATTCTTTTTTGATACTTTAAGTATTCAATTATTCAGAATTTTTAATTATCTGAATTCAAAATTCTGAATAATTAAATAGTTCAGATAATGGAGGAAATACTGTATTAAATAAATAAATGTAGTTAATGATGAAATACAACAATGCTTTCACAGGGTATAAATTCATGAATGAAAATTTTGACCTATCACATCCTACCCATGATATCACAGATTATACAATTCATATTTCAATATAATTTTGTTATTTGAGAAAGCTATCACTGATTAATGGTCTATAGTATAATTTACTTGTATCACTGATGAAAATTTAGAAAAAATTTATGCAGTATTTTGAATAAGAAAAATAAAATAAAAATTACTTTTTTTATTTTATTTTTTTAAGTAATAAATTTACTAAGAAAAGAATTTGAAAAATATGATACGTTGCTAAAGGCACTAGAAAAATGGTCAGTTCTTTGTACTACTCCAAAAAGTATCTGATTCTTCCTGGCATGCTCTCACTCTACAAGAGCTAGATTAGACCAAAAATGGAATATTGTTGGCTGGACTGGAACTGCTTAATGCTCACTTTCTAGCTTTGAGAGTTCAAAAACATTTATATTGTCTTGTGGGTGATGGATTGTTTTCCACTCTACAGATGCTTTCCCCACAGACAGTGTTGCTAGCAACTTTATTATTATTTTCATGTTCGATGTTTGATCAAATTACAATTCTTGGTTCACCCACCCAGACATTCATAGCTAGGACTCGCCAAACCACATACACTGAGCAAACTTTCATATTCCATTAGTGATGAGAAACTTCCACTCAGATGGCTTCGCCCCCCCCCACCTCTGGAACTGTTACCTTATAGAATGAGCTCTCAAGAGCTTGCTTCATTGATCACTACAATCTTAACATCTCCAAGTCAACCATTATCTATCCTGCATGTCCTCATAATATACACCCTTACATAAACTTCATTTAATAACCCTCTACTTTGAGTGGCTCTTGGGTCTTATATTAGGTGACTTATAGTGTAAACAAAAAAATCCTTTTTCAGTAAAAGACAGGAGTGGCTAAATATTGATTATTATGAGCACGTTCCAACTCACTGGGTTTTGAAAATTATGTAGTGAAGAATTGAATAGTGACCTATCGTGTCATCAAAGAATGAAATAGCCCTGTGTTAATTGCATTTTTGGGGAAGTTAAAATGTACGTGCAAGTGGCATGAGTGAGTTATGTATGTTAGCAAATCACTTGTGTATGTGAATCATTTCACCCAATAAGAAGGCTGATATCGCATGAGCAAAGAGAATGATTTCAGCTCCGTAACATTAGGCTATGTCAGTTGATGACCCAAAAGATTGATGATTGGAAGCTATGGATTAATAAATACATGTTACAAGCCATTTCAGTAATAATAAAAAAAAAAAAAAAAAAATTGACAGCAAATCTGGAGTTTGAGTTTGTGTACATCTCATATAGTATAAAATGGATTAAGTAGGTTCTCTTTGTGCACTTGATAGGAGTAGCATTTACCATTTAGCAATATTTGAGCACAGAGGAGATGCCTGATACAAATTGCAGTTGTGGGTGCCTTACAGTAAGTTCAACCTTATGTCACATCCCATCACCATGGGAAGACTGATAAATACCTACAAATTGGATAAAGAATATATGTTATATACTGCCTTTACAATAAATTAATTTGTAACATACCATGAGATTGTTGAAAGAATGATTCCTGTATCATCACTGAAGTTATGCCATGTCTAGCTTGGTCAGGTGGTGTAATGGATAATGGCTCAGAATTGTTAATTGGAGAGCTGAGTTCCAATTTCAGTTAGGTACGTTATATTCACTTACTTGGGAAGGTTATGAACCCGCCTTTTCTTTTTCCAGCTATAGGTTAATTAGTCATACTTGTATCACTAAACAATTATCATCTCCAAAAAAAAAAATTTCTTTTTTTTCTGTCTTTAAATAACATGCAAATAGTTAATAAGCCGTAGAAAATGAATGTATCAGTCAATATAACACAAGGTCTGTGGCCAAACAAATTCATGGGCACGTACCATAAAGAACTGTAGAAATTAACAGTGCTGTTTAGACATTCCTGCTGATAGTAATACAGTTGGAGTTGTTGGGTCACAGCTTTTTCATATTCTTCCTGTATTAACCATTGCTCGATATGGAAAATGGAAGCATGCTTCTGAATATGGTTAACATTATTAATCTGCTGGACATTCTCTTTCTGCGCACAAAACTTGTAGTGCTTCTCTCAGTGGGTGGATAGCTTTGGATACCAACCAGCATAATGAAACAAATAGTGAATGTAATCACAAAAGGCCCAGGGATGATAATGCAATAGACCCACCCCTCAACTAATGGAAACCTGGAGCAAGAGTGAAACCAGAGATTCTAGGCTTACAGACATATCACATTAAAACACCAATTCTCATACAATCACTGAAGTTAAGCAACATTGAGCCTGGTCAGTATCTAGATGGGTGACTGCTTGGGAATACCAGGTACTGTAAACTTGGGTGTGTGGGTAGAGCCGAGTTCAAATTCTAGTTGAGTTTGTTTTATTCCCTTATGTGCAAGTACTCTTGGGAAAGGTATAAATCCATTTCCTCCCAAATATGGGTTAATTAGTAAGATTTGTATCACTAAAACCATTATTACCTTAAAAAAAATTGTATACAAAATATTTAGATTTTGTCAGTAATAAACTATTAGTAAATAACCTATAAAGGTTGATATGCTGCTAAACAAAAACAACCAATCAACCATTTGTTGAATAAATTTAAAAGAAAATTTTTTTAATTCTGATTTATTCCAGAAAACATTAGCATTTTAAATAAAAATAGATTTTATTTTTATAGCAATGTTTTATTGTTTTTAATTCTTTTTATTTTACTTGAGATAATATAAATTACTATAGAAATTGTTTTAAAACTCTAAAATCAATAGTAACATAAGTGAAAAAGAAATCCTACATTATGCATTTTGCTCTTCAAAAAAAACTTCTTAATGGTTTTATTAAAGCAATTTAAAATGTGTAGGGTGTATGAAATCTAACAAATGCCAGTTACAATTCTACATTGAAAATGCTGGAGGCTTAGCTTAAAATTTTTAGTGTCCAGTGAATCTAGATGTATAAACCTAGCTGATGTCATTCAGTTTTCTTTTGCTTTCGATTTTATTATCACTGTTGTTTTTAAACATCTTGTATTCTAATAGCAGTAGTTTTGTTAGGAAAGGAGATATAGTGTAGTATGATACTGGATGTATTGTTTAACATGGAAGACTTTAATGCACTTTTAATATATTTTTTACCTTAATAGACGACTTACTCTTTTAATTAAAACAGTATTTTTTAAGTTGAATTAAGGTCAGACTTATCAAATACAAATAAAGCATTAATTAATAAGTTAGAAGCCATTGTTAAAGTGCAAAATAAATAACACAATCAGAATTAATAAAGTTTGCAATGAAAAGTAAAAAGGTCAAAAAAGATGAAACGGCAACAATCATGCAAACAAACAATATAGTTAAAGCAAATCAAAATTGATAAGATGGTAAAAGAATTCATAAACTAAGAGTTGGTGTTTGTAAACAAAAGCAAGGTTGACCAAGCGAACACAATATGTCTATCTAGTAGTTAAGACAGATCTACCTCTTCTCCCCACAAGGCAGGATGTGGCACAAGAACGTTTTTTATGTGGTGAAAAATTGTAGGCTTGGGTAAAAATTCCCTGTAGACCCTGCATACACAGGGTCAGACTTGTCTACCTCCCCTGACATGACTCTGCCCATCAGCATAATCTTGTCTGGGTTCTCCTCTACCTGAAGGCAGAGAGTTCAACAAGTCAGCCCTAACTACCTGAATTGGCAGATCTGGACTGAGTCATGTCAAAATGCAGTCAGATTTTATTGGCCAAGAAAAATATCCCAGCATGCATTCTGTGTCCTTCTGACTATAAGAGGTGTGGGGGAGGAAAACTTTTGCAATCATTCTGATTGGGAAATCAACAGTATTGTTTTATAAAGATCCCTTTCAGGATCACAATCTTTTATTCAAATTACTGGATGTCACATCTTTGTATTTTTTAAGTCTGTTTTCTAAATTTCTGCTTTAGGTTTTGTTTGTTATGGTTTGTATTAAATCTCTTCTTGTTTAGGTGATTATTAATCTAAAAAGTCTTTTCAAAGGAATAAATGAGTAATTGTTGTATTTTTTTTTTTTTTTTTTTTTTTACATCTTGTCATAAGTTACTGTCTAATATTTACATTTATCTGGAAAGCAAACAAATTTATTGAAGTTCAAATTCTTTGTCAAGTATTTGGAAATACAAACTTATTTTCTTAAGTTTATGTATGATAAATGTGAAAATTAGTTGAATATCTAAACAGGCGGCCAATGTTTGACTGAGGATCTTTTTAAGTCATTAATATCAAAATACCGATTTTGTTAGGGCAAATTTAGACAGAAGCAACTTTCATTTGTCTTAGAGAAATATAAATAGTTTGTTGATTATGAATCGGGCAAGTAGAACTGGAAGAAAATGTTTCTGTACAGACAGTTGCTTTATTCTCAGGTATGAACATCCACCTCCCCACCACACTTTCTGCAGAGATGATTATAGACATGTAGATAAAGTGCACATCTGCAGGGGTGGGTGAGTTGTGGTATTAATATCTGTAAGTTTGTTTACAATCTATTAGAAGATTTACTTGATGGTTCAAGATAACTTCAGCAGACAGGGCACGAGTTTTGTTTCTATTTTTATATCTTAAGGCTGACCTGTTTGTTATGGTCATTAGCTGACAGTCTCCAAAGAAAGAAAAAAACATACTTGGGTTTTATTCTCTGCTTTTATTGGATTGATAGCCAAAGATCGATTCCAAATAAGTATTTTTAAAAGAGCATTATTAATCTATATTGGTTGACTGATGCCATAAAAAAAAAAATATGACAGCATTTTGAATATTTTTCTTTCCAATTATTTTTTATACTTGCTTTTCCACACAATTGATCTTTTCACATGTCAATTTGGCAGACATGTTCAGTTTGCCAATGTCATTGCCACCTAGTGTTGCCACTGCAAGGGATATAACTTTAGAGCAAAAAGTTACAGAAAATATATATTTTTAATACTCAATTGGAAGATTGTACTCCAAGACACTCATATATATATATATATATATATATATTTTGAATAAAAACGGGCCACTTTAAGGTTCCATGTAATAAGTTATTTAACCACAACCCCTTTAACAGGGCTCTGGATCATCAGACTTTACTTCCAAAGGTTAAAATGAAAAGAAATTCACACGTTTTTTAATTAATGAACAAAAATCAAACGAATAGATGTCAACTTATGGCAGATCTGGACTGTATCAATAAGATACAAGTTTAGAAAAATAAAAAAGATTACTAAATATAAAATGGATTACTTTTTCAATGTACTCCCTATGAGTTTTTCCAATCGACTGTTTCATAGAAAATACCCAAAACTCCAACGAACTTCAAATTAAATTCTTCGTAGCTTGTTTAGACATTTAGATTTATATCAAACCATAACCTCCCAAATATGCCCTTTAAAGTAAGTCGAATTAACAGCGTCTAAGAATTTGAATGAAACCTGCCCTCGTGGAATGTAATTTATTAGGGTTGTTGTAGCTTCTTCCTTTAATGTCGGTCTTCTCCCTCACCCCTTACCCATCTATATCTAGAGACAATACACGTTAAGTTTAAGCAACGTCTAGCCGACACATAGTGGGGTTAAGAATAAGGAATTGAAATGGTACATCTAACCCACTCATATCTTATCTTCTTTCCCACCTCACTTTGTTAATTTTACATATGCTTGATGCGGTCCATCAAAAACGTGTGAATTTCTTTTCATTTTTCATTTCAACCTTTGGAAGTAAAGTCTGATGATCCAGAGCCCTGTTAAAGGAGTTGTGGTGAAATAACTTATTACATGGAACCTTAAAGTGGTCTGTTTTTATTCAAACATATCTGCTCTGAATTTTATATTGAGCTCTCCGGATATCATCCTCCTTGGGTCTACCCATGTGGATTACCTAGTTTTGCATAAACTATATATATATATATATAAAAACTATGAACATAGCCACAACATACTGACCATATTTAGAAAAAAAAAAAATTCCCATCACTATAGATGCACATATATAAAAATGTAATGTACATATTCAGTTAAAAAAAAAAAAAAATTCTTGATAATGGCTAACAGAATAGCCAAAAGCACTTGGATATATAGAACATTTGGTCAATTTTTACACGCTTTATTTCCAGCAAAGTAAACACTTATATGAATGCAAGAAAAATTGAATAAAAAAAGTTTAATTGACAGTACCTTTTTTTTTTTTTTCCTCTCTCTCAAGTACTTTCAACTATCACAGTCATTGTCAAGCACTGGGCTTTAACAGTATGGTAAGCAAAACCTATTTGACAATATTATGCCATTTTTAAATTGCTGGAATTGAAATTTGAATCACTTCAAAGTGATGTCTATAATTCTTAAACAGACAGAAAAGCATGTATCAAATATTTGTACATGTTTATACATAATATATTCATTTCATACCATCTCCTGTGGAGAAAGGCACACATGCACAATGGCTGGCTATTTGTGTTTTTCAAGCACACACCTATCTACTGGAGCAGCTCTTATTCTGTCCCAGACACATCTGTGTTTATTGAACACCCACAGAGCTCACCTGTGGTTTATCTTGCAACTATGCTGAGCAAACCATAGTTACAAAAAGATAGTGCTTGCTCAGCAGCTGGAATAATGCCAATGCATTCAAACTTGATCATGATGACTTGTGACATTGTGTTAGCACACTCATCAATGGCTTCCAGACAGTTCTGTCTACCTAATTTCACTCTCAAGGCTTGGGTCAACCAGTGAGTTGATTTTCAGGCACTTTCTAAAGGTTCCACATGCTAGGATTGCCTCTAGAGTCTGTTTGGAAAGCAAACATTCTAGCTACTTGCCTGCCACACACACATCTATATATATATATATATATATATATATATATATATATATATATATATATAAAATCTTTTTTTGTGGTTACTAACATGATAAAAAATATATGTATCACATAGAAGGCATAAATTAACCTTTTTTTTTTTTTTAATATACTGAAGCTTTGTTATTAGTCTGACTAAATCTCACTTTATCTTTCTGTATTCATTTCAATGGTAGCGATAAATCAAAGAGCATTTTGTCTGTCAAGAAAAGTAACACCCAGACTCCCTTTTACCCTCCCAACTAAATATGTCAGTAGGTAGGGTGCAGGTGCCAGGGTAAACCTTTCTGATTAATAACAATAATCAGACATCTGTGTAAATCTCTACATGCTTTACCAATTTTTCCTTATGGACTTGATGGAATTTCCTATTCTTAGACTATCCGTTTTGGGTCAGGGATGTGTTAAATATACAAAATTGTGTACGTTATCTGTGTGTGTGTGTGTGTGTGTGTGTATATTT